CCCGCAAGTTATTTGGTCTTCCAGCTAACCACAGATATACGGTGGATGCTCCTTTTAACCTGCTGCCACCTAGACCATATTTCACACGATACACATCCAGCATGTCTAGCCCTTAAATTGCTTTCTGACAACTGTGCTTGGCACATGTCTCTTCTCTCTGGTGGCAAACACAACACTGTCATTCTTTGTGGCAGACTTGGTTGTGCTAGTGTTTCCCAATTAAGCTCAGGCAGATGGAGAGAGCTGCCCATGCCGTGCCCCTCCTGTTCTCTATTTAGAGTCGTTCGGTCCTCAGGCTCACTTAAGTTTTCAAAGAAGTTTCCACGTGCCTAGTGTTGTTATCTGCTACAGAGAGTGCTAACGTGCTACTCAGACCTGGTTATATTTGCATTAGTGCTGAAACAGCTTGCTTGTGTCTCAGTATCAATTAAACAGTCATTATTTCCAAGTACCTCTACTTAATTAGAACTATTGGAGCCTCTGGACACGGGATGAGAGCTGTGCTTTTTAAAAGGTGGCTTTCTGTAACAGACAAGAAGCCTTTCCCACACCCCGCATCCCAAAGAACTTAGGTAAGCACTAAGTGCAACGGAGCAGTTGCTTGACAGTCTTATTAGAAAACAGCTTAGAGAAGAACGTGAAAAATACTGTATTCATCTGAAGCTGCAGGGAACAATGGAAGAAAAATAATTAGCCGAGTCAGAAATTGGCTAAGGCACTGGGTCTTCTGAGCCTTCTATTTCCTTCGAAATACAAAGGGATCTTTAAATACCAGTAGTAAACGAGATTCTGTTTATATCTTATCTTAAAAAGCCACAAGCAGAACAGTGCACCCTAATAACATCTTTTGCTCAGAAATTATTCAGAAGCAAGGGGGCCATCTGCTGAATTCCCAGTACCATTTGCTGCTGTATCCTGGAAGAGTTTCTTTGAAAGTTTCACAGCAGAGTCCTTTTCCACGTCAGCTTAGCTAGGCTTGTGAACCATGGCAGTAAATCTCTGAGTAGGTTGGGCTTCAGGTGTATATTACAGCAGACCTACCATGACTGCAAAAATAAAACCACTACACCAATCAATGTAATCTATCCAGGACTCAGAAATCCTGTAGACAATATCATCAGTCTGAGGTGTAAGTAATATCTCTGTAGCATAATTCATTTCCCTAAACAGAAATTTTCAGAGACAGAAAACTTGCTCATAATATGTTCATGAATATAACTTTTCAAACAAAATATAAAAGCTCAAAGCACAGAATCAAGTCTCTAAAGTAAGCAGCTTCCTTCTTCGGCTTACTGTCCATTATCCTTAGTAATGTTGGCATCATGTTCAAACTCAGCATTTCCTTCCCGGTGCAACTCCATCACAACTCCATTGATACAGGATTCACTGCTACTAATTCCACTCTTTCTGAATTCATTACCACAACTTCAGAGGACAGCTTCACTATATTCATAGCTAAAGTCCCTTTCCGATTTGTGAAAGTGGGCAAAGGAAAGGTAGAATTTTTAAAAGATTTTATGACCATGTCTCTACACACTGACACGCACAAAGTGCATTACCTTTGTAGTCCTCCATATCTTGTTTTCCTTAGTACTGCTGCAGCTAAAGGTCTCTCTGCATACCAGGAAGAAGGATCAAAATTGTTTGTGGCACAGTAACAATGAAGTATGCTAAATAACTACTACACAAACACCAAGACTGAAAAAATCCTTGTTCATATAACCATGAAATTTGATAAAGGTATTTAAAATATTCACCACTGTTCTCATTTCTTAAAGCATAGCCTTAAGTCTACTGACATTTCATGGTCTGTTAATACAGAACACTTTAAATATAGAAAGGTACATGTTATCCATTAAAGACCGTGTAGGCTCATGCATAAGATCACTCATAGTGTAAAAATATAAGATTGTTTAATGATACAAACTATAAAATTGAATCTTCAAGGTTGCTTCCAATTCAGCATTTTAAAAAAGACTGCAAGACGTAACTTGTATCTTTCAAAGTTATAATCAGGAGGTATTAAATAAAAGCACAGCACAGGGAATACAAATAAAGGCCACTTGCTTAAGACTTCCCTCTGATGAATAAGAAGTGGTCCCAAGTTTAACTCAATAGTTGGAGGGTTTGTTTGCATTGTGTGGGGCATTTTTCATGCTTAAAACAATTTTACTACCTCAGTCAATATGAAATTTCAATATGCATGACTCCCACATCCATAATGCAAAAATGTATCAGGATGGTGTTGTCAGCTGTTCACTGTTCCCAACTTTATGCACACTGATAGGCAAGAAGGATATCATCTGGAAAGTCATAAAGTTGTAGGCACATATAGATTACTCACTGCTGTCAGTATTTAATAGCAAACTATTATCCTCTTTGTCAACTAAGCATCCCTTATTTATCTCCTAAAGTCTGGACTGATGTATCAAAATAAGAAAATAGCATATATAAATCAGTAGTAAATCATAAATATAAAACACATAAAAGAGTTATAGAGCTAAAATTACCCAGCATTAAACATTATCAAGCACCTTTACCCCCACGAGCTGCCCAATACTCCCTCTCCACAGGGCCCAGCCTATGACCTCAAAAGCCTGACTAGCTGCAAAGAGTAGCCACTAAAAAAGGCAAAAATAAAGAAAAGAAGAAATAGAAATGTGTGTAGACAAATGAGTTTTCCCTCAAGACTTTGGAATTAAAGCTAAGGATTGCTAAAATTCAGTTCTTTATATAGAAATGGTCCCAAAACATATAAAGCATACCAACTCCTGGTCATATGAATCTCAGAAACAAGTAGTTCTGCCTTAGTGAAAAGCAATACAAAGTGCTCTTGCTACTTTTTTCAAACTCTGGAAAGCTCATATGAAAGAATTTTTCTATACAGTGAAAGAGATTTGAGTTTATTTTCAATTTTGTAATTTTTTTTTCTTTTCTACTAAACCCCAGATACTTGGCTTAGAACTAAGATGCTTCAACATAAAGCAAAACTCTTTTTAAAAAATGCATCTTTAAGTAATAAGAAACACCAATACAATTTTTTTTTGTCTTCTTCTCTGTTACCTGCATATGAACAAAAATTACTCCCACCTGGTAAAAGGACAATGTTTAAAACGATGGTTCGCTAGTGAAGTCAGACAATTTTATTAAGTATTTAGAATGAGAGGAGTGGTGTGCATACTCCTATGCAGGTAGTTAGAAAGAAAGGGAAAGAAATTGGAAAGTGAAGGATTTGAAGCGTAATGCTATTTGCAGGGCACTATATTCTTTTATTTCTGACACGACTTGACCATCAGTTGTTAAAGTTCTACTAAATAAAAAGTATTTACAATTAAGATCGTTCCCATTTTAGATCTTTAACATCTTTTCCTTTGGATCTGATTTTGTACAGTTAACGTGTCCTGCATTTTGGGAGGTTCCACACACGAAGGTGGATCAGCTCCACGGGTCAGAGAACACAAACACAGCTTAGCCACTGTCTAATCGATGATACCTGCGGCACAGTTGTATTATATTGCTCACGACAGATACAGCAGTACAAGGGAAGAACCCGCAGGTGCTATCAGAGTTCTGATGCACAACACAGAAGGTATTTTGAAAGTGTAATGAAATATTTGTCACTTTCTACCATTGAAAGTCAAGAAACCGAAATCAGAGACTTTCGTTTCCTAAAGGTATTTAGAGCGCAGGTGTGCTACGAGGCATAACACGGCACTGCCAAAGTCCCACCGTGGTTTCAAGGTGCCCCCGGTACTGGTGCCGGTACGGGTGGGTGGCAGGGCCGTTCCCCTCCGTATGTCACATACTGAGACCGGGCACAGTGACAGGGAAAGTCCAGTCGAGACTACGGACGCGGTTGTGATACCAATGACACCGCGGAGAGGCGGAGGAAAGGCAGCGCGACTTCACAGGCGCCCGGACGCCCTCCTCTCGGCGGCTCTCCCGGCACCCCACTGCCCCTCACCCCTCGGTGGAGACCAGGACAACCGAGCCACGCAGCCCAGGACAACCACTTGCCCCTACGAAACGCCTTTAGCGACTCACGGAGACCGTCTACAGTAGCTCAACGGGTCTGCAGTCACCGCAGGACCGCCCCAAACTTCACGCGTGTTCTGCCTAGATGTCGGTCTCGACAGGTAGTTCACAACACGCCGCAGCCAAACTCGCAAGTGCATTTTTTTGCAGGCGAAACCAGAAGGATGATCGCTTCCCTCCTCCGCCGCGTCAAAACCTTGGACAAGGTACTAAACCGCGACACCTGGAGCCGACACGGCGCCTTCCCTTCTACCAGCCTCCAACTTCCCTGCAAAGCGTCAGAAATTAACCTCTCCGTGGGCACGAACCCGAGCCGCGGTCCACGGACAGCCCCAGCTAAGCGGCAACCCCCCCCCCCGCCCCACCGCGGAGCGCCAGCACCGCCCCCAGCCCCTTCCCCGCGGCCACACGCCGGCAGCCGCCGACGGAGAAACTTTTCCGAGCCGCCCGGCGAGGCAGCGCCCACGCGGCCGCCCCGCAGAGCGGGACCGAGCCGGAGCCCACGCACCGCGCCCCCCGCAGCCGCGCCGGCCGCCCCGCCGCGTGGGCATCCGCCCGCACCGCTCCTACCGTGCGGGGGGCAAGTGAGGGAGGGAGCGAGGAGGTGGCAGTTACCGGCGAGCGAGCGCCCTTCTTGCAGAGCGGTCCCCTGAAGACGCCTTTGATGCCGCGGTAGTGCCCGTTGCTGAGGTGCCGGGAGCTGATGACCAGGTAGCACGCCATGCGGGAGCCCCGGGCGGGCGGGCGCGGGAAGGGAGGGCAGCCCGGCTCCTCCGCGGCGGCGGCGGTGCTGGCCCCGCCGGAGCAGAAGCCCGCATGAAGGAGCGGGCGGAACCGCAGCAGCGATCTCCCCGCTCCCGTCTCATCCAGCGCCCGGGTGAGCGCTGCCAGCAGCAGGATGCACTGAAGGCGGCAGCAGCGGCGGCAGCCAGAGCACATCTGACGGAGCGCGGAGGCCAGTCCGCATGCTGCTCCGCGGGTGGGAGACGGGCCGGCGAGAAGAAGGGTAGAGCACAACTTGCACAGTCCGCCGCTGCTACGGCCCTTTCCCTTCCTCCCTCCCTCCCTCCTCCTCCTCTTCCTCCTCCTCAGACCAGGCCACCGGCAGCCGACATCCGGAGGGGAGTTTCTCCGCGGCAGCTGGAGCGGCGGCTGCTCCCCATGGCTCTCCCCTGGGCCGGGCTGGGTGCTGGATGCCGACGGGCGCCGCGCAGGATCCACGCCGCCCCACTCCTGCCGTGCCGCCGCAGTCGGCGCCGCGCCTCGCTCACCTCCGCCTGCGGGGGGGGGGGAGGCGGTACGAGGGGGCGGAGGAGGGGTAGGGCCGGAGCGGGGGCGGTGGCGGGGAGGAGGACCTGGCCCCTCGCCCTGCGGGGAGAAGGGGCGGCTGCCACCGGCAACCTCGGGCGGAGCGTGCCGTGGAAGGCGGCAGGGTGCGCTGACCGCCCTCCTCGTCCGCTTCGCCCAACTTTCCCGCCTTCGGTGTTGGAAGGTAACGTCCCTTCCGTGCCTGCCTCTGGCTGCGCTTCCACCTGTCCCCCGTATCCCCTCCACTATACCCCCTTGCTCTCCGCTGTCCCGCGGGCTGGCCCTCGCCTGGACCCTCCGCAGCCAGAGGGGGGGACGGGAAGCACCGCTGCGCCGGTGCCCGCTGACGGCTGGGAGCGCAGACCGGCCCGGGACTGCGACGGGGCTGCGCGCAGCTGTCCGGGCTGCCTGGACACCCCCGGCTTGTGGCTGCGTTTGTCTCCATCGTCCCCCCTGAAAGCTCGTGATTTTAGGTGCGTGGTGTCATTTACGAACTAAATGATTTACGCAGGTATGAAAATCTTCCACCACTAAATAGCTGGAACAGGTTAGGGTGTTCTCCCCTTCTGCAAGACAGAGGCGTAATGTACATCGGACCCGCCTGTGCAGACTCAGCTTCTTCTCTTCAGGTCACTAAGTATTGTCTCTGCTCTGCTGCTTGCTAAGTCGATAAAAATAAATCAATAAATCACACGGCCTTAGTAGTCACCTGCAGATCATTCATTTCTTCGAAGTAGATTGCTTTAAACTGCAGATAAGAATTGTTTCAGTTTTTTCATTTAATCCTGTAAAACAATATGCTTTCAGATATTTGGTGAATGAAACTGATAAGCCACAATCCTTCTAACTTTAGCCTCTCGAGCTATCTTTCTATGAATCTAATGTAAATAAAAGGAAAATCTCATACAATCCAATAAACTATATAGATAAAAAGGTCATGACAATTCGAATGTCATTGTTTGACTGTCTATGTAAAATAGCATTGTACAGTCCTAATATACAGTGTTGTATACAGTGTTTCACATAAAATATTAAATTTTATTATGTGTGTATATATACATATATACAAATAAATATATTATTATATATTTTATTAATAAATATGCAATGTTGTGAAGAAAACAAAACACATCTGAATTTGGAATAAACAAATTTATTTATTTATACTACAAATGTATTTGAAGTAATGTATTAAGAACATCCTTATGTTAACCATCATACAATGTTTTGTAATGTAAAAAACTGTTAGGTGGGGGTCAAATTAAGCTATTAGTATCAAGGTATGAAATAAATAAAAGGACTTGGCTCTTTGCGTAATGTGTGGTTGAGGTGTGGAACTCCTTGCCAAAGGGTCTTGTGGATCATAGATTAAACAGTCCCATGAATCAGTACAAATCAGGCTTTGAAGCCTGGGAGCAGTACAATGCCCACAAAAGACCTTTGGAAGACTTTTCTGAAGCAAGAAATTGCATTGTAAAGTAAAGTTTGAGAAATTATACTACCATACTTAAAAAGAAAAAAACTGTTATCCACTGTTAATTTGGTGGCAAAAATGAGCTTTTATGATGCTTTCCTCCTACAAGTCACAACTATGTGAGTGACTTGAAATATATTTTTGTTGGCATATATGTTTCCTTAACTGGAAGTTCTTTCTGAAATAATTACTCTGCAATCCTGTTAAAGATAAAAGTATTAATTTCACTTTGGATTTTGGTCTGCAGCTTAACTTTCTGACTCTGCACTGAGTACATATCTAGAAGTAAAGACAAGCACTGTTTTTGGCAATGCAACTAACTTCTCAAGGTTGTTTTTTACTTCTCTGTGATGCAGATGTTGTTTCTCAGAACAGAAGGACAATTTACATCTCATCTCAACAGCTTGCACAGAGGTCTCAGTTCCTTTTCTGCTGTGAAAAGACTTGAAAAAGTCCTTTGCTCCACAGAACTAATGTTCTGTTACAAGGTGAGGGAGAGGGTGCATAAGACTCTCACCATATGTATACAATGGAGATATGTGATTTCATGTTGGAGTTATGTGGACAGATGGGCCCTGTCACCTTTAGAGGAGGTTCAGCACAAGCTGAAACTGTGTGAGTGCTTTGCTGTAGACTAAGGGATAGTACTTTCCTTCTTAAACTTACAATATTCCACAGTCTATTTACCAAGATTGTATGAAAGAGAAATTATTTACCCCAGAGTAGGCTGCACAGTATTCATTTTATCCTGCTGAGGAGGATGATGTGCTCAATTGACCCTGCTGTGAAAAGTAGAAGTCATTTTAGGCTCACTTCACTTTGCAAACTCAAGGGAATAGTTACTATGACCACCAATCTAACTTATAAATAATCTGTAGGACACAAGACTGAGAAAATGAGATTAAGAGTTGTCAAATGGAACGATTAGTTATTAATTATATCACTCCCTGAACATTCCCCCAAGTCTCTGGAGATGCTGCACCTCCTTCTCTTTCATCACAGGTCATGTAGAAATATGAGCCTTAACTATTAGTAGCTTCACTGGGTCCAATCCTTCACTACCTTAGATCTCATAAAGTAATTTTCAACTGAGCACAGTGGATGTAAAATACTACCTTTCAGAACATTACGCTTTCTTTGCAGAAGTATTACTGGCTTTTCAAGATGCAAGGAAGTGGGGAAGCAGGTCAGCTGTCACTAAGAGAGGATGATTAGAAAATGAGGTGTTCTCCAGTTCGTCTATCCTCTCAGTTTACACATTTTTTATCATTAATAAAGACTGCTTAGCATTTATTGTCCCCCCAAAACATCTGGAAGAATTTTCTATATATTCTTTGTAGGGATTGTCCTCATTGCACAATACAGTGTCTAAATGAAATGACCAGCCTAACTCTAAGGCTAGGCCGGTTCTGGTATAAATATAGTCTGCCTATCAGGCATCAGAGAACTATATTAATGCAGTTATATTACTTTTAATGGTTGAGCTAATGCGTATGTTTCTTTGCAGCATTAGATAGTACTGTATAGACATACCTGTAAAACCTTGTCTGCATTGAGAATTTTATCTAAATTGTAATTCAAGTGTCACTCCTAATATGAGTTCCACCTGCACACAAAGTCCATCATACTGATATTCTCTGCTGTAGAGGTAAAAATTACAGTTAACATGATTTGCCAGCTGCTAACCTAAGCGTTCTTCACTGTGAGTACAGACTAGATCTGCTTAAGGGTCCCAGTCTTAAAATGCTTTCCACAATCCCTTTTCTGTGACCAGAAAGAACAAAGACATCCTTCCCCATGCCTTCAGATATGAGAAAGTTTAAAGAGTGCAAAGCATCTTCTGGCGCTACACCTCTAGAAATCTTAGTTTCATTATCAAACAAGAACAGAGGTGTGTAGACACACAACTTGAGTGCTGTTTCAAAGTCTGATTATTCTTCACTTGAGTTAGTTTAACATGTTTTCCAGTGCAGAAGAATCCAAGTGAACCCTACAGTAAAAGCATACTCTAATACTGATGTGATTTTTACAGGTGGTCTTTTTCACTGTAGGGAGGGAGTGGAGGAGGGAGATCAACATCTTGGCAAGACAATTCAGGTATGAAAACACACAATGAAGTTCTTGATGTATAACAGCAAAGTCTTAATAGCTCTATGGTTTATGTTATCTTCAGACATAAAGGAGATTTTAAAGCTGTAAATCAAGTCCTGGCAATATATGCAGATCTTTGGATTATAAGTACCTGAACTACATGTCCCTTCACCCTCAGTTCCTCTAACTCATCCACCCAACCTCTAACTCCTATCCATTCTGTTGGTCCCTAGCTACAGCTAATTCCTGTGGGTTCACATGAAAAGTGAGCTCCTGCTCCACTGACAGTAATGACAGTTTTTGAGGTCCACAGAATCAGTTTCTTTAGAAACATTGAACTGTTAGGTATGTTCATGTATGTAACAAACCTGAAATGTACTATTACATTAGCTGTCCTGTTACTCTACTTGAATAGATCACCTAATATCCCAAAAGAATCATAATTATTTGAAAATGAGAACCAGATATTAGAAATAGTTAACATTTCTGTTTTAATCTGAATTTTTCATTTTTTTTCTCAGTGAACCATATATTTTGGAGAATATTTTATAAAGTTTGATCCTGGTGAATATAAAAATACAAAGTAAATAGATCTGCATACATTTTTGTTTTGCTTTCAGTAAAATGGCAATTTAAAATCTACTCTTTTTTCCCCTGAATCTCAAAAAAAAAAATTTTTTTTTCGTTAAAAAAGTAAGATCTTCATTATATCTGTCTTTATTTCATTAATTAATTTAGGATATTTTAGACCATCCCTAATTTATTCCATGTGAAGTAAACATTATACTGCTTATCCAAACATTTTTAATCCCAGGCTGACTCATTTAATCCAAACAGTAGTTACATTCGTCTTGTGAATCACTTATGTAAGCAGCTTTCTATTACCGAAAAGTTGAATCTGTCAAAGTTTATACATTTAAAGCATTGATGGCTAAGTCCATGCAGAATCAGTGACACTGTTCTACTTTGGATGGAGCTTTTTGGAACATCTAAGTGCTGAACAGTCACTTTATAGTCTGCAGCTTGCTTGTGTAGCCAGCGAGTACAGCAGTCTTTATCATGATGAACCCCAAGTGCGTGTGTATACATCAGTGAAGAGCAGTAAGTCATGCCCTACTTTCCTTATAGGCTTATGCACCACTGGTTTTAAAAAAGTCATATAGTTGAAAAATAATCTAATTCAAATAACTCATCTTACTCTGATGTTACTTTGATACATCTCTTATATGACATTCAGGAACCTCTGTAATACTTTATCACTAAAAAAAAAAAATACGATGTTTCCACTGGAGTTCTTGTGAGAATTACTCAAGAGTGTAACCACAGTCCTAGAGAAAAACACTAATAGGTGGTATTGGGCAAAACCACCAATTTCATAATCGGTTTAAAATATGCAATAGATCTGTTGTTTTCAGAAGGTTGTGGGACATGCCATTCACTTAAATTCACAGATCGGTAATAGAAATAAGACATTGACCCTATATTAATAAGAGCTCAGTGCTTCCAGAGTATGTGTCCAATGATGTAAATATATCTTCCATTTTCTATGCAGAAATACTATTCATTGGTTTCTTCTTATTGTTAGCTATATTCTTTACTTAAATTAGGATGGATATAGAAAGAATAATGGTAAGTAGCCACTGTTATGAAAAATATATAGCAGAGTGCCAATTCTGTTTTAGCAGCAAATCCTTTCTTTCAGGAAGATGATATATGAAAGAGATGTAGGTGTAGCAGTGTTTTCATACACTTGCTAATTTATTATGTTTGCATAAATATTTAATACATCAATCTCTTTCTAGAAAGAATATGGTTTGCATTTCAAGTCTTGTATTTTTTTTACATTTCCTTTTGCCTAAATCCTACCAAAACTTTAATTATATGCTTAACATCCACAAGAGAGGTGACTAGTTTTTCATTGCTTATTGATGGTCATCAGACTGATCTCCTTAGGTCAGCACTGTATGTGCTAGTGGCCTTAATATCTAAAAGGTGAGTAAAGTTATTGCATTTTTATTATTAAGAATCAGACTTGAATATTAACTGGAGAACAGATATCTTTAAATTAAAATAATTAAAATTTAAATAATTAAATAAATTTAAATAATTAAATAATTAAAATTTTATTATTAAAATAAATACAAAGAGACAAAAAATATTGTCTAAACTCTCCATAGGTAACCATGATGTCCACAGATATCCACAACCAGAGAGGCTAGCAGCATATATTTCAGACACAGATACATTAATTTCAATAACTGACATAACCACAGTTGTCAATCCATTTTCCGACTCATACTCATTTAATTTAAGGAGTGCTCCAAGGACAACTATAATGAAACAGCCTAGGAACAGGAGAGGACACCCATTGCGAAGGAATGATGAAGGCAACTTCCATCACGTAGAATTTTCCATCTTCACAGTAAGACATCTCCTTTCTCTCAGTATTATCTGCAAAAGTATCTGCTATCTTACATTGCCACAGGGAACATACACACACACAGTGTGTGCTAATACACACCTGCAATGATATCCATAGACAATTTCAGCTTGGTAAGTTAGTAGCACCCTTTTTGTCTGGCACGAGCATTGCCATAAGGCACCCATAGACTGTCAGCACATACATGTTATTTTTTAATCTGGTTGCGTCTTCAGCCATTGAAGCCTATTAATTTTCATAAGACCATGTACAGTTTCTAAAGGACTCTCAAATTACATTTGTCAGAGAAAAGTTGCATTGGTTTTGTATGAAGTGAATGAGAATTCAGCTTGGGAAAGAGAGTGTTGAGGGGGAATTGTGAGATGTCACGCAAGCTGGATAAAGATCACTAATCTAGGAACTCTATACATCCTGATCATAAGTGACAAGTAACTGCAGATACTTTCTGTGGGCAGAGGGCCACTTAGTGTGGTGGTTCACAAAGCCACTTTAGATAAAAAAATTACAAGGAGAAAGCAACTCTTTTGCATAACTTGAGAAGAAATAAATGAATATAGGTTCTGCTGAACTGCCAGCAATAAAATGCATTTTTGTATACTTATATTATTATTTTTATAAATATGTATGCATATTGCATATGGATTATTTTATATATTTATAATTCTGTCTGGTGTCCATATATTAATGGAATAATATATAACTATAACTTAAATGCTTTAAATGTCAACACCTATACCAGTTTATTTCCTGTGCTGTTTTTCTTTTTCTCCACTGAAGCAAAGTGACAATTTATTCTGTTTTTTTAGGGAGCTCAGTGACAGGGAGGTGATTTAGCAGTCTCCAGCAAAGCAGTACAGAACTAGAGTCTGAGATGTTCATACTCATTAAACCAGTACACTACCTAAGCTATCTCAGATCTTCATGTTTCCATGGAAGGATTTACTATGCACTACCACAAGATCACCCTGTTAGTTCTGTATATAACCTGTTACCAGCATTTCATCATCTACCCACATTAATACTTCAGCAGACAACCTTTAAAAAGGCTTTACAAAGAAAGATATGGAAGACACAGGAGAAATTTCAAACTGACAGCAGCATTTGTCAGCTAGAATCCTCTGGAATTCAGAAGTCCTTCATGTTATTAGGTGTCTAAGAAGCAATAGTTCTTTTTAAGACTGACACCTACATACTTCCTCTAAAATAGACAAGTATACTAAGAGGTCTCAGAGTGTATTATGGCCTAGTTTTGTTCCTTAGTAGGTTTAAACATTTCAAGCATTCTGTAACTTCCATTCAAGTGGTAGCAAAATTTCTTTGTACCTTGAAGAAAATTGGTAATACTCTTGTAATCCCTGAAATTTCATTAATAATTAGTAATGTAGGAAATATTCAGTAAAATCAAAAGGTGAAATTCACTTCCTAGCAAAAAGCTAGCACAAAAATTTTACATCTCCTACCTCCCCCATGGTATCTCCTAAAATGTTCTTAAGTGTCTCATGAGCTTCCTGGCATCAGCTCAGGTGTGGATATCATCTGATTTCATCTATAGTATGGTGTCTACAAACTTGCTTATGGCCAAAAATGTCACAGTTTTCTGTGCAGAAATAAAATAGATGTTTGTTTCAAATAGAAATTCGGTCTCTATTTTTTCAGTCATTTTGTGTTCTAATTATAACAGTCTAATTTGTAAACAGCACATGCTGAGGTTTTGACAGTGAATGTCTGATGAAACACAGAGTACAAATTTTAATTATATACAGTTCTAATACAGTGAGCACTGCAGCATTTCTGTCATCTTTGAAATGGTAGCAAAATGTAAAAAAAAGTTTTTTGAAATATGAGCATGAAAGTAATGAGATCAATAAATGTCAGCTAGAAAAAGTAATCACAACTCCAGAGACTCACTAACCTTTCTACAAATTCCAGAAATAATAGACTAGCCTGGATGAAGAATCTTTAACAATGGGAAACAGATACAATTATAAGGGGAAAGCGAGCCAAAGATTGCTGAATAATACCAGAAGCATTGCCTTTTAAGTAAATGAGAGAAAAACAATCAATATTTTTGCTTTTCCTCCTGCGAGCCTCACCAATGAACTTTTCTTTGCACCTTATAAATTTGAGAATGAAATACAATATAAACACATATGTAAACCTAGAGTAAAAATATGAAATATGCCATGAAGTGCAGTAAGCGATAATGGTTTTCCAAACTGATGGCCTCATCCTTCTCTCAGAGAGACAGGATATTGGAACATTCACTGACCTCCATATAAATTCCAGATACTTAACACTCCAAAGATTTGGTGGCGTATGGTTTCTAGATACAATTTATGCAAACCCAGAGATTAAACCTGAATTAATTCAAGACAAAAACCTGTTTGTTACGTTTTAATGCCCCATGGTAGAATCTAGATTAGGTAAGTTGTTAGATTAAGTAATATTTGAAAGGACAATGTTGGTATTTTTAATTTTTTTTAATTAAAAGTGCAAGAGGCATTGAACCTGAGGTGAAAATGGAAAAGAATAAAATACTTTGTCAAACCTATTCAGATAGGCAATAACTTTTTGTTTGAATGAAGCATACAATTTTCCTGAAAACATATTAGCATTTTATGAAGGATATGCAAAATGCACTAAGGATTTATGTATATAACACACTTATTTTACGGAAACTGACTTTAAAAAAAGAGGGATAGAGATAACATGAAAATTAATTCTAATTCTACTGTCAATTTAGTCGGGGTTTCTTTTTCCTCAGCATTGACTGAACCTTTTTGGATTTTGATATTGAAAATGGATGGGCAGAGATTAAGATCCAGTCATTAGTGTCCGCTCACTGTTTGCAGGCATATGTGTTGTATTTTTAAAATTATGATTTTCAAATGGTAACACTGACGTAAAACCAGCTGGAGGTATTAGCAGTTTGCAATTCATTGTTAGGTGCTAATCTGTAGTAATAAATGCAAAAGGACTCCATATAGAACACACAAAGTATTCCAGTATCACCATTCACTTTTATGTTCAATACTTTCTATTTTCTATCATTCTGTATGTCCTGTTAAAATGAAGGGAACTGAAGAACTTAAGTACTATTTTTGAAATTATGTGTCTAATTCCATACACATAGATTTTCTCCTTTGCTTTGCTTAAACTACTCTTTTGAGTGTGAGTATTCACTTATGTACATATAACATTTTTTATACATAACATTTTACATATATACATATAAATGTAACATTTTACACACACACATATGTATGTATATGTGTAGGTGTATATAACATTTTGCAGGACTGGAGTTCATGGAGAAAAGGAGCTCTGCAGCTAGTGTGCAACCTAATATAAAGTAGCTGATGCCTGTTATAGCAACCTTTTTTTTCAGCACAGAGCAAAAGAAACACGCATCATAAAAACTGGTTGTTGAGGGCCACTCCAGGAGCACAAACTGGATATCAAGTCAGTGTTATTGACCAGGACTTGCCATAAATGTGCTGTGCCACCAGGAATATAGAAGAACTGCAGGAAGGGATGTGTACAGGAGCTTCCCTACTCCAGCCACCTGTGGCTGTGGAAGCAGCTGTGGATATGTGGGTGTACATTAGATGAGTCACAAGTCTCTGGGTAGCTTTGGAAGTCAGTGCTGTGTTAAGAGACCAGATATGTGTGTAATGACACAGGAGCAGCCCAAAGCCAGCAGAAGTTGCTGGAAACATGCTTAATCCAGGTAAGGAAGAAGCTTTTAGCATTCAGCTTTCAGAAATACAGACGAGAAATACAGACCAGTTAAAATGCTGTGTTTTGCGTTCATCGCCCTACGAAACCAAAATTCAAAACAGGTGCTGTGTACATGGGGACCTATCTATGGTTTAAAAGCTATGTTTAAGGATAAAAATCTTTTCAGCCTGTGATTTTAAATGAAGTGAGTTTTAGTCAAATCAGTTTTTACCTGTAAAGGCTTTGCTGTGGCATACTCTTCCTGATGCAGGGTTGCTCAGAGCACACTTAAGTAGAACAGACTGCAAAGAGCTGCAGAAGGATCCTACAGGTGACAGGGCAGCAGAATAGCAGATGAAACCCAATGTCAATAAACGCAAAAAACCTTGTATGGGAAAAGTAACTCAAAGTACTCATCCAAGATGTTGGTTAATTACCTATTGCCACTCCAGGAAGAAATGTTAAAGTTCCTGGATAGGGTTATATAAAATGCCAGATCATTGCACAGCAACAGCCAAAAATGCCAGTCAAATGTTAGAAACTGCAAGGAAAGCATTGAAGAACAAAAAGAAAACATTTCAACAGGTTCTACTCTAAGAGCAAAGGGAAACTAGACTGGGACTGGAGAAGTAGGAATGGTGCACAAGCTGAGCTGTGGATTACTTTCCAATTTCTCAGTATGAAGAAGTATAACAAAAACATTTAGAAGAAGTAAGCTTAAAACAAACAGAAAAAATTTGTTTACACAATCCATCATCAGATTATGAATTGATGTGGAAGGTTTGTCAGCAAAAAAATAAAAATGGAGTCAGTTCCTTTCCTACTATTGAAGAGAAAGGTCAAAATGCAAATATCAAATGAAGAGGTGCCTAAACTACTGATTTATTAGAGACAGTATCCTATTAGGAAAGCACAGGCAAATTTAAATTTTCTTGGTTTATGGTACTTTTCTCTAATGACCATTGTCAGAGATAAAATACTGGACATCATAGCACAAAAGATTTTATGTTCTTAAGTTACAATGCAATTATAATTTCTGGTCCAAATTATATGCTTATTTGAATGCTGGGTAGAATTGTCATTCAAAGTGGCTTTGACAGACTGAAAACACAAGCTGACAGAAACTCCATGAAGTTCAACAGTGACAAAAGCAAATTTCCACAGCCAGTACACAGTAACTCCATGCAACAGCACAGACTGGAAACCAACATGCTGAAAAGGAGCTCTCCAGAAAAGGACCTGGGGGTCCTAGAGAAGAAAACTGAACTGAGTCAGCAGTGTGTCCCCATGGTGATGAATACTAACATACTTCTCTCCTAGCAAGATTGTAGGCAACAGATCAATGGATGTGATTAATACCCTTCTCTTGGGAGACCATACCTAAGTACTGTGCCCATTTTGGACTCCCCAGGATAAGGAAAAATTTAATATACTGGAGTAAATCCAAGACAGTAGCACACTGGATGCAAGGAGACGGTGAGGATGCTGGGTGTGATGACGCTAATTATCTAGAGCTGTCCTGCAAAACAAAGCACTGCTGCAATACCAAGTTTGAAAGTGGGGGGCCCTTCATATTTGGCATCCAACTGTCTTGTCTGCTAAATGTCTCACTTTCTGCATTCACAGCACACAGTATCTCAATGATTAAAAAAAAAACAAAAAAAAAACCCAAAGAAAAACCCCAGAAAAACCGATGGAAACAAAGGAGAAGAAGTAAATTAGACTTTCATCTGATAGCCCAATGCAGGTGTCTGAGCTGTGCACAGTGGCAATCAAGAGTGCAGACAGGGACCAGTGATTAGCTAGGTTTTGGACAGTACCAGTCAGGAAGGATCTCTTCTTGAGCTTGAAAAACATTTCTCTTTTCAGATTAGATTTGTCCAGATTATAAAATTTAACTCTAACCCCAAAATACAAACTCTATGCACACATGTACACATTCATGCTCCTAGTCAGCTGTGGCAGTGGAAAACTTCTGCTTTGATCTTACAACTTCAAGAAAAAAACCATTACAATTGCACCAGAATTGAAAGTTTCCTCTATTACAAGTATCTGTAAACCTTTAAACTTCTAATGCCTAGACACAGCTATTCACTGATAGCTTTAGTTCTCACTTCATAGAGAGACAGTATCTCCCTGACCCCTTAGGGGAAGACAAGTTCCCTGCTGTCAGCCTGTAACAAACAAGGTTTCTGCATGGACAAAGATGATTGTCCCAGATGACAGGTGCCAAATGTAGGTAGAGATAAATCACACTAAAACAAACTCCCTGAAGGATCTGAAGCCAAGATCCAGTTTGCATAGATCTATATTATCATAATGTTTTCAGAGGTACTTTCTGGCAGATCTCGTTAAGGAAGATCTATTTCTCTAGTTTACCACAAGGTGGAGGTGCTGTTACTCAGAATCACTCATTAAGCGATCAGGAAAATGGTGGGTGTTATACAACAGGCACTGTAAAATTTTATGGACATATTTAAAAAAGTAATAAAAAATAATTGTATGCAACTGTGAGATATGATTTTATTAATTTATTTTAAGCCAACTGTGTAA